ACAAAAAAGGGGGTGATGTGGGGTTGTGGTTGAGGTGGTAGAGCACTTGCTTAGCATGCAAGAGGTCCTGAATTCACTCTTTAGTACTATAAAAAATAAAAGTCAACTTTGTTACTTAGTTGTTCCTCCTCCTCTTCCTCCTCCTTCTGTCATGGGGCTTGAACTTAGGGCCTGGGCGCTCTTTGTGCTCAAGGCTGGCACTCTACCACTTTGAGCCACAGCTCTACTTGCAGTTTTCTGGTGGTTCATGGAGATAAGAGACTCACAGACTTTCCTGCCTGGGCTGGCTTTGAACTGCGATCCTCACATCCTCAGCCTCCAGAGTAGCTAGGGTGACAGATGTGCGCCACTGGTGCTGGGCCACTTCGTGTAGTTTCTTTAACGAAGGTGACATTGGCATCTGAGTGGTTTCCCAGGCACATCTTTTGGATCTGAGTGGCCGTCCTCTGGAAATCTATTTCTGGTTTTCTAAAGGTTGGGGAACAGCTGGGTTTCGTCCCTTCTCTTCCTCCACTCTCTGTTTTTGAATGTGAGCATTTTGTGTGACAAAAATATCCCGAACGTAATAACATGTCCTTGGCAACCCTGGTGTTTTTGAGTTTTAAAACAACCATGGCCTTAACGCGAAGCTAGTTTTTAAAAATCATTTCCCCCCTCTCTCTTTCCCCGTCCAGCTGAGCAGTGTTTGTTTAGGAAGCTCTGGGCAGTGTCTGGCCCACAGCACCTCATGCTGAGCTGGAAGCTTTCATGGTCTTCTTTCCCTCAGTAGCTATTCTGGGCTCCCACCCTCCCAACCTCACCTCCCAACCGTGTGCTGTGAATGGTGGAACCATTTGTTCAGCCTCCAACGCGCAGCCTCTCTGTGGACTACAGCTCTGGCTCTGCCCGGATCTCTGATGTTATCCGGCCTGCCATCATTCATCCAGTCTGACGGGCACCGTCTCTTCATGTATCGGACATGAATGCATGGGAGAGTTGTGCATCAACCTTGGTTCTGGTTGCCATTTGTAAGTTCTCTTTGAGGAGGTGGCTCGGTGTTCCTCCTTCCGGTCCTACCTTGTGGTCCACTCTCTTGCTGCGGGGATCCTGGAGGTTCACGCTCTGGTTGTTGAACTTCTTGGTTATTACTTTTCTGTATCTCTGGAGATCCTTATTCTTAGCAGAAAAATAAGGAATGATAGTTAAAATTAAAAGAATGTGGTTCTCTCTCTTTCTCTTTTGGAGCTGAGAATGGCAGCAGATGCCTGTAATCCTAGCACTCAGAAAGCGAAGGTTGAAAGCATTTAGGACTTTTGCATCTTGCCTGGGTTACATAGTGGTTTAGAGGTATTGAAGATGTATATTAAGCTATATGGTGATTGAGATATATTTTTTTCTCTTTTAAAACCATTGATTTTGAGTGACATTATTTCATGATGGGGTTTTCCGGCCTTTAGTGCTAGGGGCTATACAAGGTGTCTAGCAGTTGGCTGCATGCATTCTTCTACCTGATTCTGATTCATTCTTTCATAAGTTCAACTGAGAACTTTTGTTTGGTTATGAATCAGCCATGATTTCTAGATACCAGAGGTGCGCATTTGAGTGTGCACTCTCTCTTTCTCCTCTCTCTCTCTCTCTCTCACACACACACACACATATACACACACACTTAAATTCACTCTTTCTCTTTCCTTTTTTCTTCCTTCCTCTCTATCACCCCCTCACCCTCCCTCTCCTTCCCTTCCTTCCTCTTCTCCTTCCCTCCCTTTCCCCTTCCTTCCTTCTTTCCCCTTCTCTTTCTTTCTCTCCTTCCTTCCTTCCTTCCTTCCTTCCTTCCTTCCTTCCTTCCTTCTCTCCCCTTCTCTTTCTTTCTCTCCCTTTCCTTCATTCTCTCCCCTTCTCTCTCTCTCTCCTTCCTTCCTTCCTTCTTTCCTTCTTTCCTTCCTCTCTCTTTCCCTCTCTTTCTCTCTGCCTCTTTCTCCAAGAAAAATTTGAGTATTAATGGTTAGGGACTTCTTCGACTTAGGCTGCAAGCGCTCACTAATAAAGAGCAGATGCCTGGTATGCACGTGAAGCCATCAGGTGTAGACAGACAAGGAAGGGGCCTGGGATCCTCCAGATTACACAGGTCTCCTCTAGGAACTTTTCAAGGCAGATCTGAACAATGAAGTCCAATACCGGTCAGGGATCACAGCTCTGGATTCTCCTAGAATCCAGGATCTGGACAGGGTGATGGAGGGGTCTGCACTCGCTGGTGGTTTTTCTGGATTCGAGAGGCTCTTGGCTGAACCGTCTCATTTCCAGACGATCTGGACATCTGGTAGGCCTGCATCGAGCACCACACCATGCTTTCTCTTCCTTGGAACTATTTTACGTGAACCCTGACAATGGAGGCCTGGTAGGATCAAATGGATTCACCTGCAACACGAAGAAAGAGGACGACATCATGTTTTCTTTCCCCTGCAAGTTCGCAGTTTCACCACAGCATTGTTCTTCAGAGCAAGGTGGGACTTGGGACTCTCTTGGAAGGACGAAGCACCAGCTGCTCATTCTCTTCTCAGTGGAGGAGCGGCCTCTGTCCTCACACAAACGCTACAGCAGATAAAAAGCGGAGGCGCGTCTCATCTTCAGATGCTTAACACGAATCCCCGGAAGCACGGCGGCCCAGACCGCGGGTACTACGAACATAAAACACCAAATGGATTTGGAGATGGGAGGCAAATGGATCTGATTTAAGACAGAAAGCTCTCTGGTGAGGGGTAGTATGTGTTATCATTGTGTGCCATGGCAAAGCCACAGGTGCACGTGGAGGTGCCCCAAAATCATAACCGCACAGAGCCCCGAGTTCGAATGCACCCACGTAGGGCCTTCCCTCACCCACACAAACTGTCATTTCCCCCAGTGCAAATAATCAAATGACCGTTTCCCCACACCTAGCGGCCTTCCTGCATTTCTCTATTTCTCTCGCCGGACCCTCCAGGGCTCTGTGCTTGGCTCCTCTTAGAGGTCTCTCCCTGGCATTGTTTCGTAGCCTATGCTCTGCTCAGCAGTTTCTATTGGTGGTTCCTTCATGTGGGTCTCCTGGGCCCATCCTTCGCCTGTTCCGGCCTGTGGCTTCTACCCCGAAGGGGGCGGCTTGGATCAAGTTGACTGCAGCCCTCTTCTCTGGGGTCCCTAGCCAACGTTCCCATCTCTTCCTTTCTACCCGCCTGTAAGCCTGGTTTATTCTTCCCGAGGAGAAAGACTAGGATGAGCTGAGGAAATGGCGGGCGGCGTCAGGGTTGGGCCGCGCATTCCTGAGTGTTTGAAGACGAGGTAGGGCCCAGACGCGGGTGTGGAAGTCACGGGAGAGACAGTGAAGGACGCAGAGATGGAGATGGGGTTGTATAGTGTTTCTCCATGGAGGTCTATGGGAGAGCCTGTCTCGTTGGAGCCCCACATGATCCCAGAAGCCACGGGGCACTGCGGTACATCCCCGTCATCTCGGCCCTCCAGTGGCAGAGGCCGGAGGATCCTAGCATCACAAGACAAGGACAGATTCATGCTCTAGGGCAAGTGTGAGGGCAGCCTGGGATGCATTAAGACCCTGTGTCTCAAAATGCTGGATACGTGTGTGTGTGTGTGTGTGTGTGTGTGAGAGAGAGAGAGAGAGAGAGAGAGAGAGAGAGCGCACCAGGTTAGTGTATCTACTTTCTTTTTAATCTTAGAACATTGACTTCCAAATCTCATACCTGGGGCTGAGCTGGGGCCGTGGAACTCGGCCGTCTGAATGAAATCTCAAATCTCAGGCTTTTCTGGTGGCCACAGGAAAGATACTTGCTTTTCTATTTTCTTTTCTGCTCTTTTGAGGAACTGTGACCTCGAGTTCCGTTCTTGCGGTGTGGGCCTTTCCCACGCAGGTGCTGTCTGTCCCCTGAAGTTAGTCTCCGTGGAGGAAGGAAAGGTGGGGCTGGCAGGATCGTGGGCCGCCGGTCCCACAGCGTGCTCGGAGCTTCATCTGCATAGGCGGGAATGTTTATTTATTTATATCGAAGCACCTTGACTAATTTCACTGCAGTTATAAAGAAAATGTAAATATATCCCCAGTCCTGATGAAAATCCAGGTCGAGGCACGGAGAAGCACGGAACGGTTGCCAAGCATCCCGAAACTCTGACATTTTGCCTGGAAAGCATCTTGATGGGAGAAAATAAAAGGACGTGAAGCCCCGCAGATACGCTCACTTAATCCTGTTGGCCTGAGGTGTCTGGTTGCATTTTACCTCTCTCCTTGGTTTCCGGGCAGAAGCAGTCATTCCTGTGTCCAGAGGTCAAGCCTCCATTGCCACTGACAAGAGCAAAAAAGGAGAGAGAGAAACACAGAAAGGAAGAAAAGAACAAAGGAATCAAAATAGGATGATGTACAACGCTGACCCTTTCTCAAGCCAAAATATGTGCGTGTACAAGTGTGTACACACGTGTGTACGCACACATGTGTTTTACCAATGCTAGGACTTGAAATCAGGGCCTGGGTGCCATCACCCCCGATGGCAGGAAAAGAAGTAATTCACAAGGGATGGAAGGCTCTGGAAGGTTCAAGACCAACAGGCCTGGGTGGGAGCCTGGAGTCATGTGGCCGCGAGTCACTCGGTTATTCCTGAGACGGAGTCTCCGCCCTGGGTGGTGGTAATAACCCACCACGCACAGCTACTGTGCCAGCTGGTTATACCATAGGTCAGAGCTGCGCCCGCGCTCTCTGAGCTCAGCTTGCTGTATTGGTGGAACGGAGAAGCGCCTTGTGTGTTCTCGGTGGATGGACCCATTGTGGGGAGAACCCCCCCCCCCACTTTTAAACTTGATCTTAACACGCAGCTAACCCCATCAATACGCAGTCTGGCCTGGTTTCCGCAGCTTCCTGGGCCAGCTGGGCAGGAGTTAGAGGGAAAGTCGGAGTCGTTCGTTGGTTTCGGTATCGCCCAGTGTTCTTGTCTCAAGCGATTTCCTCCCATGCCTGGGTTGATTTGCTTACTCTTTTGTTCCCGCAGCCACAGGTGCTCGCTGAGAGGGGAGGATCTGAACCGGCAGTGGCTCTCTCCCCGCGCGCACCTCCAGCCGACGGTTTACCACGCCAAAGGACTCCTGTACTACCTGACGAGCATCGGCCGCAGGCCCGTGGTGAGTCACTTCCTTCCCTCCCCAGCCCTTGCCTGCCTCCTCCTGCCTTCCAGGAGGCAGGTCGCACTCTGGTCAAGGGGGGAGCCCCAGGCGGGGTATTTTGAAGCATCGGCTTTGTGACCCGAGAGGGAGCAGGCCCATCCAAGGACTGCTGAAACGCGTCCGTCACACAGGCTCCGTTTAAATCCCCTAAGAAAGGAGTGCTCTCAGGTTGGTCAGTCCAAAAAGCCGTGGGATTCAGCGTGTTCATACCCTGTGTCCTAACCCTTCTTCCTTCCTTCTCTGAGAGGCTGTGTTGGGGGTTCTAAACCGACCTGGAGGCCCGCAGTTTCTCCAGGACTCATGGGATGAGGATAGACGTGAGGTACACACTTGCAGCTTATTGCAGGAAGAGAACAGGCGTGGGGAGGGCGGTCAGCACTGCGGAGTTCCAGGGCACACGGAGCGGGCACCAGGACCAGGGAGTCGGACTCCCCCAGAGGGTCAAACTGACAACCTTGGGACCATCCCACACGGGCGGTGAGCGCCAGCCGCCCGCAGTGGCCTGAGTGCTTAGCCAGAGAAAGATGTTATCCAGGGAAGCGTGCCAGGGCCTGACAGTTCACCTCCCAGAGGCCGGAAGAAGGGCAAAGCTTTCTAATATCCCAGGCTTGCTGAGTCCGCTCTTTATAGCGGAGAACTCCGGTTCTACACTGGGTAAAACAGAGACTAGGGCTGGGTCGACCCCTTTATCTTTGTCCCAGGAAACACCGTAGTCTCTGCTGTCAGCCCTCCAGAAGCCTGGCACCTGCCTCATGGCTGAAACTTGGAGAAAGGCTGTCTGCCTAAGTGGAAGCCATTAGCCTGCAGGAGGAGACAGATCTAAAGGAAAGATCTCTCTGTCTTGTGCACATTCACACACACACACACACACACAGGGGCATTAAACCCACAACAAAGCAGGATTTCTTTCTGCTCTGACAGTCTCTAATTGAAGAACAGAACATTTATTTTCAAGCGTGACAGGTGAAAGGCTTGTTTAAAAATATAAATAAACATTAATTAGCTATAAACATGACAGCCACAGACGTGTTTCCTGCTGGGACCATCTGAGAGGTGGGTGAGGAACAGCTGAGCGCTAAATGTGACTCGCAGTGCTACAAAGCTCTCTAATGGGCCGCGCACCACGGTTTTGCTCACCTGCGAGGCGGTATTTAAACCACAACTTTCTGAGAACACAAGCGGAGTCACTCACGCCGCACGTGGGCCGATTCTGTCCTGGGAATTTGCCCCACGTGTCCAGATAGACTCTCGGGCTTTATGGTTCCAGATGAATGGCGGCTCTGCCCAATCTCTGACTCTTATGCAAATGTCTTCTGAGGGATGGAGAAACCCCACCTTATGGTGACTAGGGTAGGTGGCGTCTTTTGTGTATGCTGTGTGGACATTTGCCCATAGGGAAATGGATTCATATGAACCATCAGGACCAATGAGAATATGGGATGGTTGAAGACAGCAGTACCTCGATACTACTGGGAGCTGCTAAAAAAAAATAAAAAGAAGTTGTTCAATTTATAGGCAATATTCACAATGGTTCCATCCATTTCCCTTTCTACATACCCATCCTCTCATCCATTAGTCTACGCATGCATGCATCCATCCATCTGTTCATCTTTCCATCATCCATCCGTCCACCTAGCCATCTACTTCTCTGTCTCCCCCTCTATTATTTTGTCCATGCATCCATCTGTCCATCCAGCCACCCATCCATCTCCCCATCTCCCCCCTCCTCTGGAGAATCATCCTTTGGCCCATTCATTTATGCCATGCGGATGCAATCCCTGCTTCAGTGCCAAAGACATAAGACCAACGTTTTTAAAAAGACTTTCCTTTTCATCGAGGAACCCATAGTTTATTTTGTTAGAAAGTGAAGTCAGTTCTTCAAAGAAACTGGTATGATACAACACAGTGAAATCTGTAACAAAGGCTCTTGTGGTTTTGTTGGAACACAAATGAAGCGTTATTTTTTCTCTCTCTCTCCAGGGGGATGGAAGGGCTGCAGAATTTACCACAATTTTTAGTTTAGCAAAGCAAGTAAATCTTTCCTCAGAGAAGCTGCTGGTGCCACAATGGCTTCTTGGGTTTTCTTTTTCTTGTGAAATTGGAGAGGCAGTGAGTGTATCTATGCCTAGGATCCCTGCATAGGGAAAAGAAAGGAAACAGATTCACCTGAGATCCCACAGGTGTTCTTAGTGCACTTTCCCATTTTCTTGACCTACCTTCCTTCCTTCCTTCCTTCCTTCCTTCCTTCCTTCCTTCCTTCCTTCCTTCCCTCCCTCCCTCCGTCCCTCCCTCCCTCCCTCCCTCCCTCCCTTCCTTCCTTCTTTCTCTCTCTCTTTCATTCTCTTTAGTTGTACAAAGGATATCAGCCTTCTGTGATAGAGTATAGATGAGAGACCTAACACATAGGCACAGAAAAAAATTTAACCTAAGCATACATTGGAGTATTACTCTGTAAGCAAAATAAAACCCCCAAAAGATAAAACACAAAACCATGAGTTCCCGAATCATTTAATAACACACATGAACTTCAGAACAAGTATGTCAAGTTGGAAGAAATCAGACACGAAAGACTACAACACTCTGTTTTATTAACATACACTTCAGGTTCAGTAAAATTGGCAAAGATAGAAATTTGAACAATGTTTGCTTCTGGGGAAGGAGAATAGATAATAGGGGCCATGAGGGAACTTTCTAGGTTAGTTAAAATATTTGATATTCACGAACCCTTAGGGTTTAACCCAGGGAATTCAGAAACCTGCTATAGGTCAGAAAGACTAGGCTCAGCCCTACCTTCCAATGGAGAGAGAAGTCCAGTCCCGGCAATCCATGGGGCCGGACAGGTATACAACACGGATAGATCAAGACCTCTACTGATTGAGTGACTCCGTGGCTAATGATTGACACTTGTCAATCATTCTGTGTCTACAGATGGCAGCGGGCTGCTTTTTTCCCTCATATGTCTGGAAGTGCAGGGTGGGGGTGTGGGGGGAACCATTTTTAACACCCGTGGCACCTGCCAGTAGCTCCCTACGGGTACGACCGTTCCCTTTTTGGGGGATTAATTAAGCCCAGGGCTGGTCAGGAACAATGCACGGTGGAAACCCCACCCCAGGAGCAGGAGTGCCCCTTCTGTCCCGATCGATCGTGTTTCCAAATATCTCATTTTCAAAAACGTTTGGAGCCAGGCCAATCAAAGCTGGGACAGGTGACATTTTGCTTTCTAATGAGTAGCGAAGGGCAGAGGTGGTTTAACTTCCTTTCTCCCTAGTAGAAATCGGATGTCATCTGAGAAGGTCTCTTTTTCTTTTTCTTTTCTTTTTATTGAGAACATCCGGGCATTAAAAAAAACAAATCTTAGCTCCATGAGTGGCATGTCTCAGAAATTCAAATGAAGAACAGGCATTAAAATGATTATGAGTTACCAGAGCGTAGTAAATACAAAACAAACTCATGTATTCCACTGTGGGGTTGTGTGTGTGTGTGTGTGTATATGTGTGTGTGTGTGTGTGTGTGTGTGTGTGTGTGTGTGTGTGTGTGTGTGTGAATTTACATGGGCTCTTAATGTTGTTGTTTTCTTTTTTCTTTTTGGAAAGTAGGGCATTCCGATACATAACACCAGGAGCAGAGATCTCCTGTTGCATGTCATTGCATCTAATGGGCGGTGTCATAAACTGTTGGTTATTGGTGCGTTGTGCTGAATTCGAGATGTGAGTTTTCACACCAGATTAAATATTGGAGGGCCCAAAGGTCGCCTGTAAAGGAAAGCCTCTGTCTTAAGGCTGTGTTGGAACCATGGCAGATGCTGGCTCAATCTGAACAAAAATACCCAAAATTTAAAAAAAAATCCCTTTCAGGTTATGGATGTCTATAAAATTATAGATAGTTGCATAGAGGAGACATTGAAATAAACATTGGGCCTTAGCTATGATGACTTAGTGGGTCATAGATGTATAACGAGGTGACTTAGACAGTAAGGTTCTTTGTTTTTGTTTTTGTGCTAGACTAGGGCTTGGACTCAAGCATTTTTTACTCAAGGCCATCATCCTACCATTTGGAGCCACGGCTCCACTTCTGGCTTTTTCTTTTTCTTTTTGGTGGTTAATTAAAGATGAGACTCTCATGGACTTTCTTGACCTGGAAATCCAAGATCTGAGATCCTCAGATCTCAGCCTCATGAATAGCGAAGATTGTAGATGTGAGCCACCAGTTTCCAGTTCTGCATTGATTTTTATGGGTTCTAATAGAGGAGAGCCCATATCTCCCATGGTTACCGTGGTGCATGCATGCGTGTGTGTGTGTGTGTGTGTGTGTGTGTGTGTGAGTGTGAGAGAGAAGGTGCTGATCATTCAGGTGAGATACCATCTCATCAGGTACAATAAGCAGCTTCTCCATCCCTGGTTCCAAACGCAGATCCAAAGACTTACAGCTGGTCCAGACATTGCAAAGGGAACAAAACACGTTTTCTCTTCTTGATAACTATTCCCTAAACAACATGTGGTATGACATAATAGAATATTTATTAACGGTCCCATGGTATGAGGCATGAAAAGTAATCTAAAGAGATGTAAAGCGTTCCAGGGGATGGGGCATACATTTACATGTAAACATGACACTATTTTATGTAAACTGACCTAAGTAGGCATAGATTTTGGTATATGTGTGTGTGTTGTGTGTGTGTGTGTGGGGGGGAATGTTCTGGAACAATTGCAGAGGGGTGGGAGGAGCTCTGGCTATGAATAAAATAACTGGGACATGCGTTCTTGTACACTTGGGCCGTGGAGGGCACAGCACACATTGCCAGCACCTCCCTCACGGAGACACCCACTACATTGCAGGAACACGGGCAGAATGCTGTCTGCACAGCGTTGCCCCTGCACGAAGTCCCCAGGGCGTCCGTGAGCCTGGGGTGCGGGTTTCGTTAGAAGTGTCCTGCTCTGGGAGGTTTCCCATCCCATTTT